ACTTCCAAAACTATGTTGAATAGTAGTGGTGAGAGTGGGCACCCTTGTCTTGTTCCTGATTTCAGGGGAAATGCTTTCAATTTTTCACCATTGAGGGTGATGCTTGCTGTGGGTTTGTCATATATAGCTTTTATTATGTTGAGGTATGTTCCTTCTATGGCCTGCTTTCTGGAGGGTTTTTATCATAAATGGATGTTGAATTTTGTCAAAGGCTTTCTTTGTATCTATTGAGAAAATCATATGGTTTTTATCTTTCAATTTGTTAATGTGGTGTATCACACTGATTGATTTGCAAATATTGACGCTCGGCGAGCACACTGTCCCAGGTGGTCTGTGCGTCTTATCACCTCCCCTGTCCCAGCCTCTTAGTCTCCCGGGTACACCTTGAGAGCGCTGGTCTAGGGGTGCTGTGTGTGTTTTCTGGGGAGCTGATCTCTGGCTGCGACCCTCCTGGCAGATGTCAACCGTCCAGGATCCTAGGAAGACTTGGTTAGCAACTGGGTGCCTGCTCACAGTTTGGTGGAGGGTTCCATCTCTGGGGCCGAGATTGCCCCTAGCCTTCCAGCTCTGGCTGTCGCCCGCCTGCCTCTCTGCCTCCGTCAGGGGATGGGCCGGTCCGCAGCCAGCTAGCTCTCTGGTATTCGCTCAGTCCTTTGTTCTGTGAGCAGGTCAGGCTGTGCCTGAGGTTAGAGCTTTTTGTCTGAAAGTTCTCTCTCTCTCTTTTATTCTCTCTGGCTATCCCACAGTTTGGGTTGCTATCTCACATTAGCTCCCTCAGACTGTCCTCGGGGCATTCAGGCCCGGTTCTCACCCTAAGCAATGCTACCTGCACCCTGTTCAGCCCCTGCTCGCTGATGGCGGACGCAGGCGTCTGGGCTACTTTTCCACTGGGAGTTGCGGTTAGGCACGTATACTGTGGGTTTTGTTTTTTTTTCCTCCCAGTCATGTTGCCCTCTGAGATTCCAAAGCTCCCCCACAGACCCGACGGTGAGAGGGTTTCCTGGTGTTTGGAAACCTCTCCTCCTTCACGACTCCCTCCCCAGGACAGATCTCCATCCCTAACTCTTCTGTCTCTCTTTTTGTCTTTTGTATTTTGTCCTACCTCCTTTTGACGAGAATGGGCTGCCTTTCTGGGTGCCTGGTGTCCTCCGCCAGTGTTCAGAAGTTGTTTTGTGGAAGTTGCTCAGCATTCAAATGATCTTTTGATGAATTTATGGGGGAGAAAGTGGTCTCCCTGTCCTATTACTGTGCCATCTTAGGACCGCCTCTCCAACATTATTTTTAAACTCATTATTTTTAAGCATTTGGCCAAATATATTAGAAAGGATTATCAAAACCATAGTACACAGTCATTTCAAAAGGCAAAAACCATAAAACAAATTATAGACCACAAGGGATCTCAATTTTGATAAAAAAATCTGCTTGCTAAAAAGTAATAGCTGCGTACATTTACTCAAAATCTTCACCACCTCTGAGTTTAACAAAGCAATAGAAACATTTTTTAGAGCCTTTAGTATGCTCTGGGCACTATTCTAAGAGATTTACACATATTACCTTGTTTAATTCCCAAAACAACTCTGTAAGGTAAAGAGAATTATCCTCCTCAATTTATAGATGAAAAACTGAAGCACAGAGGGTACGTAATTCACTCAAGGCTGTATTACTAGTAAATGATGGAGTTATTTAATTAACTTGAAACCTTACACAGATTATTGAAGAATGATTACATTTACATAGCAGGCCAAGGGAAATACCTTTAAGACTATACAGATATGTGCACATTAACCATGTTTTATAAGCATTAATTTTGTGCACATGGGTCTTGAGCCAAAGCTACTCACAGATCCACTTGCTAGTAGTTTGCCTCACACTGAATCTTACTTGGGAAAAAATCTTGGTTAACCACAACAAAAAAGATAGAGCGACTATTTGTTTTATATAATTATTTGTCATCTTACAATGTAATTCATTTGAGGTGCCTTTAGGTAACAAGCTGCCAGATGTCACATGGTGTGCATGTATCAACAGTGTAGCTTTCTTTTTGATAGACCTGCTTTACCTGAATCAACTATATCGCTAAAATCACATAAAGACTGAATTACCTACATGCTTTAAAAGCAACATATATATTACACAGGGAGAAGCACACCTATCCGTATATGAAAAGTTGAACAAGGTATAATAAAATTTTAGGGTCTCTGAACTTGGCATAAGATTTTAGGGTTTTGAAATCAACTGTGTAAGGGTTATGATTTCTCAGGACATGAAGACCCAAGGAGAACTTTTCTTTAAATATTCACAATTAAAAAAAAAAAAAGACTATGCCATATATATAATTACATTCTTATGTATATTTATCTGGTCAGTCCAAATAGTTTTGAGCATTTTTTTTTTTTTGGTTATCTTAAATTAGTATATGAGTTAATGAAAATATCAATACTTTCGCTGTTCCATCAGTATGTTCAAATTTAAACTACCTGACATTACATATGGAAATTCTGCCTTAAGCAGTATTTTCTGCTGGTCTGTTATGTATAATCAAGGTATGCTATCTCACTGTAGTTACAGTTAAAATAAAAGGGGAAATGGAAACTTTCTGGTGGTCCAGTAGTTAGGACTCCAGGCTTCCACTACAGGGGGCACAGGTTCAATCCCAGATTGGGAAAATAAGATTCCTTATCCTAGGAGAGGTAAGAAGGGATGGTTCTGAGATGCTCATACTTGCTAGCTATTCTTCCTTTTAGCATATATTAGCTGTGGTGTCTTTTGCTGGCATATACAAGTGACATGGCTATAATGCATGTCTAGCAACTAGAAATGAGAGTAGTTTTCATGTGTGGCTAATAAAAATCACTCTCATTACTGTGAGGTCCCACATACAATGCTTTTCCACAACATTTAGCTCATCAGCTTACGTGGACCACAGGAGATATGAACTGGAAACAGTAGATTAGCAATGAATTATTTGTAGGTGAAAGCTCTGTAAAAGAATCAATCCTCAGCCTAAATTAGTCTGCATATTCCCAGGACTCACTATGTTTTTGTAGGAGTGTATGTATATAGGGGGCATTTAATAAATGTTCAGTTGCTAAAAAGAAGAACTATATAGATGTCTGTTTGGTATTTAGTTTTCTACTTCCTGAAAGTGTAAGGAAATAAATCACTTTCATCTGGAATACGTACTTGAATCAAAATAAGAGCTGACTGAAGTGAACAAACTGATTCAGTGTTTTTAAATAGAAAGATCCAGAAAAAGGTGACATATATATAAAGCAGCTATTTATAAAGATGACACATTTATCATAAGTTTCCTTACCTTGCAAACAGAAAGGACATTAACATTGATCAGTTTCTTGATGGTCTGCAAAAGAAATATTGGTCATTTTATATAGATTTGATCATGGAAGTGACCATATTATATATAAGATAGATAGGTAGAGATATATAAATAATGCAGAGATGCACTGAAAGTTTCCCCAGATACAGTACAGACCTTGGAAACTGATAGGATTTGGGGTAAACAGGCAGATTATATTTTACTCTCAGTATTATAGTATTTTTCAACTAAATGCAGCAATTCATACTAATATACAAAATCCAAAGTATACATACAAGTAAAATCCGCAAGCAAAAAAACCACACTAAACCTAAAATAAATATGCAATTTCCTCTCTGCTAATATGGAAAGAAGAAACTACTGAATCTAAGATTTTCAACAATTTTTTAAAATTTACATATTCTTTCAATAATATGTTTTCTAGTTATTATTAAAGAATTAGACATGCATCAAATATATAGCTTTCATTTTGGTAGAGCTAGTTTACCTGAATCCACCATATTGGTGTATATTATTAACACAATTATGGTTTTTAAATTGGTGTTTAGAATCCTGATACCTAAACAGAGCTGTTTTGATGTAATAAAAATGATAATAATAAAACTGGAGCTATTATTTAACCTAGCATTGTGCAGATGAGATGATAAATATTTTCTCATTCAATCCTTCTAACATCTCTGTAAAGCTGCCTATATTATAGACAAGGGAACGGAGACTAAGGATGGTTGGGTCATTCCCTGGGGAACTCAGGTAGTGAGTAGAAGGACCAGGGCGTAAATCTCGGCTGTTAGATGGACTCCAGCACTCAGTCTCAATATCATACCATATTGCCTCACCCATGCCTGCACACATTCTTTCTATGACCACAATCCACAAAAAACAACTTACACTGTCCAAGTCAGGAACATCCAAAAAGTATTCCGGATACTCATATGCCATTCCCACATTATTCACTGAAATAAAACAAGATCATTAGCTAGCTAGTATACATTTTGTAGATTTGACATAAAGAGATTAAAAATGATGAGACTGAGATGATACATACAATTACATAAAATGTTTATATCTTGAGTGCTCTCTCTATCCATAATCTACCCATATGGACAGTTCAAATGTCTCCTCTTTCACTAAGCCTTTCTGTATCCAACCCCTGGCAGAAGGACTTTTTCTTGGCCTCCCAATTTCCATAGCCCCTCGGAGTATATGTGCATTCCGCCTCCGTAATACATCTGTAGATATTGCTTAACCTCTCTGTGTGTGTGTGTGCTCCGTCATGTCTGACTCTCTGTGACCTCATGGACAGTAGCCCACCAGGCTCCTTTGTCCATGGGATCATCCTGGCAGGAATCCTGGAGTGAGTTGCCATTTCCTCCTCCAGGGGATCTTCCTGACCTGGGGATCAAACCTGCATCTCCCACAGCTTCTACATTGGCAGGCAGATTCTTTACCTCTGAGCCACCTGGGAAGCCCAATCTCTCTTTAGATCTTCAATTTGCAGAGTACAGTAGAAAGAGCGGAGGATACAGTTATATAGGAGACCAAAAACTTGAGTTCTACTTGCAACTGTTTCAGAAAATATGTGACTTGGTCACACATGATATGCATCTCAGTGTCTTCACCTCTTAAATGAGAGTGTGTTTTAATCATTCAACAAAAATTTGCCATTCACTTGTGTGCAAGACATGTGTGAAGAACCAGAAAAACCATAAAGAATAGTTTGCATAATGGAGCAAACTATCCAGTAGAAAGAGAAAAAAAGACTCAACAAAAAGAATTAAACAATTATTTCATTACAAAGTACAGAGTGCTGTGGGGCCTGTCCCAGACCTCATCTGGGAGGTGAGGGAGGGTTTGATGTTCACAGAGGTTAAATAACTTGTGCAAGGTCATAGAGCAAAGTAAGGCTAGGATTCAAACTGAGAATATTTGACTTCAGAGGTGTCTTAACCACTACTTAAAGTCATCCTATGACTTCACTCCTTATTCATCTCAGAGAAAAAAAATGTCAGTAATAATTGGATAATAAACAGAAATCTGATAGCAATGTTTAATAAAACTGTAAGGTATCAGAAAATAAAGGTTTCAGTATCAAAAAGATAATGAAATTCTGATCATTCTGTTCAAGCTTATAAGGAATTATGCCAGATAAACCTGATAGTAGTAACTTTTTCAACAGACTAACAAAACTAGTGGCTCAAAGGAACTCAATAAAGGTTCTATATTTAGCAGTAAGCCAGTCACTTCTGGCTGTGAGTCTCAAGATTTTACTGGTACAGTTCGGTCAGGATGGCTTGAACAAGATCACTGAAACCTGTCTGAAAAATCTGTAAGCAAAGGACAGTAGCAAAGCAAACTGTATTTAATTAAGATTCATGACCATTTGAACAGGAATTGGTATCTAAACAGAAAAATAATAGCAGGTTCAAATCCATTTTTATTTTAATCAATATGTTCTCCACCCACCAGGGGTTCTAGGAATCAATTCTTTAAAGATCATCAAAACTAGTTGATGGTGCGGTTTGTGTTCATTTGACTGCCTTAGCCATCTACAAGGTTATAAAGGATGAATGACTTATTTACAGAGAAATAGCAACAACCAAAACATCTGTTAAAATGTTAAACTATTCTTTAGAAAGTCAGTGTATGATTACAGGAGTCCTCAAGGAAAGGTTTCTGCCGAATTGTAATGTTCTTCGGGAAAGAAGATTCCATCACTTACTGTGAACTCCATCTCTCTTCACTCTCTTGTATCTAGAAAACTTCCTAGCTGTAGGTCTCTGGATCTAGAATCTAGATCTAGATTTGAGGTCTCTTTCTAGCCCATGGAAATACTAATGCTCCTTTTCAAAATGCTGAAGGAAATTGAACAGTGTTACTATAAATCTTTAACAGTCCGGACTTGGATTTAGAAGGAAAAAAAAAAAACCAGGAACATTGTAAGCAGCACTGTTAACTCTGCCATCTTGGCAACTGTGTTCCAAGGGCCAAAGTCAAGCTAAGGATGCCCATACATAACTAATCAAGCAAGGAAGTGATACTCTGGGTAAGGTTGTATCTACAACACAAAGCCTTCAGATCTGTCTCTGCTAATTGAGCAAAGCAAAGACGTCACAGCTATCTACTCACATGGTGAAAATGTGACCAACTATTTAACACAATTCTAAAAGAAACAGTCAACGCTGAGAACTTTAGTCTGAAGAAACAAATGGTATTATGTATAAGGGCTATGCTTTTATAATCAAAAATAAACACAGGGAAAAAAGGTGTTAAAACTGGAACAGATCTTAGAGAGCACTGAGCCTGACTTTATGGGGGAATACATGCCAAGGTCACAGCGGCAAGTGGTCCATTACTCTTAAATCTCTTGCTATTTTATTAGTCAGACCTTTCGCTGGTGGAAGATATGCTACCTGCATTCTCTCCACGGTAAGTAATCACCTCAGAGTGCTATTATTTAAGAGTTCAAGAAAATCAACTGTTGCTCTCAAATGTTATTTCTGTAAACTTGCACAACGGTGAGAATCTTTTGGAAAAAGTAAACTCATTGCAATTTTATCTTCAGACATTAGGTGGCAGCAACAACCAGACAGCAGGCGGAAAAGGCAACCAAACAGCAGGGACTTGCGAAAGGAAGAAAACAGGCTTTGGGTAGGAGGGAAGGATGGAAATGTTTCCCTTATAATTTAATCTCATTAAGAATGGGTACATGCAATACCATCTTCTTATATTACAGGATTCATTACAGGATTCGCCAAACCAAACAATGCCACAAGTTGTTCCAACATCATTCGATAATTGAAAATCCCTTTTAAACGGCAGCGTTTTAAATTGGCATTAATATCTGTTCATTAGTGAGTTTCCTTGAATTCTTCAAGTCAGGCACCAGAGGCAGATTGAACATTTTTGTTCAATGACCTGAAAAACCCTTTTAACTCATGTAACACACCATGTCTTTCAGAAAATGAGGTGTTATATGTACATGTAAGCTCAGACTTCCAAGCACTACCCCAACAATCATCACAGGACCATGAACAGATAGAAACTCTTTCCCATCGATTTCTCAGTGGAGTTCTAAGATTGGGAAGAGCTCAACGGAAGAGATGAGGCAGACAGAGAACAGAGGTGAAGACAGACCAAGAACAAGGATGAGGTAAGTGGAGAGAGAAGGAGGCGGCGGATCCTTGCAGAGAGGAGCTGTGTGCGCCATGCTCAACACTGTCTGCCACGTCTGCCATCCAGGACTTCCAAAAACACCGAAACCGAAAAATCATATTTTAAAGACTCGGCGAATCCACTGAGTATTTCTGAATGTTATAGAAATATTCTAAATTACACCATGCTGCTGTTTAAAAATCATTTCCACCTCTCGTACTTTTAAAAAACAATGAGAACATACACAAGATTTGTTTCTTCTGAATTCATTTGTTGCTGCTTCTACCCTTACTGGACTTAGAATCCTTTATCAAAACCAGCTGCTGTAGAGATAATGATGTCATTAGGAAATTCGATTTCTGGCATCTGGGTTGGGCATGAGGGAGGAGCAAATGACAATAAATTGCTAGAGAATAAAAGTCCATGTGAACGAACACAATAATAACAGATATGGGTAACCACACACAGACCACCTTCAACCTGCTGCCTCTTCCAGATTAATCATATGTAAGACATTAAGGCAGCTTAAAAACACACTGCCTAATGATGGGGCTTCCTAATACATAACAAATAATGCAGTCTTCTCTATTTCTCTCTCATCACATCAAAGTAGAAAACATGATACTAAGTTTACATTTTGGTCACATTTGTAGTTGGATACACTAATGCAGTTCATTCATAAAAAGATGAATTTTAAAAAATGCTGCCACCTCATTTTATTGCAAAAGATACTGAATTTTTTAAAAATGTAGACCCAAGTAACACCATGAATGGAGAGAAACTTCTCTTATTTAAAGCTTTCGAACCAGGAGGGGCTGGATCTCAGAGGCCAACAGACCCAGATTTCAGTCTCCACTACTAGGTCCTAATGAGATGCAGGTGATTTCATTCCAGTAAGCCTCAGTTTCCTCATCACCTTTATATATAAAATAGGCATAACAATTTAAGCATTAAATGGGATAATACACATAAAAATGTTTAACCCAATGCCTGGAACATACTCTGTCCATGGAATTCTCCAGGTTACCCACCCATACTAGAGTGGGTAGCCATTCCCTTCTTCCGATCCCCCCTCCCACCTCCCTTCTCATCCCATCCCTCTGGGTCTTCCCAGTGCACCAGCCCTGAGCACTTGTCTCTTGCATCCAACCTGGGCTGGTGATCTGTTTCACCCTTGATAGTATACCTGTTTCAATGCTGTTCTCTCTGAACATCCCACCCTCGGCTGCTTATTCAGCAAGTGTTTACTGAACTCCTATTTTGCACCCAACACCAGGGTAGGTCCTGGGGCTGCAGCACAATAGCCAAGGTCTCTTCTTATTGTAATTAACCAGCACTGAAGTGGAAGATCCGTCTAAAAGACAGCTCCAGGCAAGAGTTAACCAGAATAACTTTACACGGATTGAATCTACCCTAACTGCTCCTGTACCCTCTTTACTTCATTCAAGTAATCTAATCTTACAGTCTGCGGAGTTTGGAAAGTGATGCAAAGAAAATTCCTTCTTTGCCTTATTTAACATATTGCTGTAGCTAGCACATGTTCAGACTCTGACAGATGATATTTGGAACAGCAAGTAAAACATTTTGCAAACTTTACAGTTTTCCTACACTTGTGAGTAGCAATTTCTAAATAAAAGAGAGTTTACAAGGCTTTAAATCTACAGCGCTTTTACTCAGAAATTGAAAAATTAAGATTGAGTCAGAAGCAACATAACAGAACATTTCAGCTCCACTGTTTAATTACACACTGCTACGTGATGCTCATTACAAAACCATGTAAGATCTGCCATCCATCAAGCTG